GTATATCATGCTGGGTAAAGTCTCTTCACAATCTAAATGATGTATAGTGATTTAATGTATGAATAATAATAAAAATATATATGAATTTTAAAAGTTTAGGGGAGAAAGACAGTAAAAACTGTGGGTACATTTATGTGAATATGTCATTTACATATTATAAAGGGATTTCCCTTATTGTCATTTTCATTATAGATTTTTAGTTGTGTAGGAACTTGCCCATAAAGGAAAACAATGCTGTAACAGTAGTTAAAAGGTTATTAGAAAACGTGTCTTCTCTTATGAGACATTTCTGGAGAAATCTGAGGTGACTAAACTCTGCTAGATTTTTTTTGTTGTTGTTGTTAGTTTTTTTTGGAGAGGTTTTTCACTATAGGGCACGTGCACTCACCAGACAGACAGAGACATAGAGACAGAAAGCAAGAAATCACCCCTCCTGGGGGGATGGTCACGCTCACAATCCCTTCTCCTCCATTCTCCTCTTGGGATCTTGGGTACGCATGCACACGTGCCCAGCATGAGTTTTAAGCCACCGGGTCCAGGATGCGAACCACAGTCAACTATGTGGGAGTCCAGTGACATAGCCATTACACTAACTGCTGGTTCCCACTCTGCTAGATTTTAATGGATTATGCCAAAGTGTATTTCACCATATAAAGGATGCTGTGATTCACTGACTGAAGACAATCAAACCCTTCAGGGTGCAGTCAGGGTCTTTTAGAAATGACACCAAAGACTCCTGTGAGCCCTGTTGGACATCATACGAAATTATTCTCACCATTCATACTGCAGTAAAGCTTCAAGGCCTTGAACTCTGGGTTCACAACTCAGAAGGACTGCTTCATATTTTTAAAACCATGCACCTGTTGGAGACTTTAAGGTAAAACTGACCAAGGAAAATTCTTCTTCAGAATAGACATCTTGGACATGAACAGCTTTGCACAATATTATGAATCAAGACTTCTCTGCATCGGGACCAGCAAATGATATAGTGTTTGTGTCACTGGACTCTCACATAGTAACTGTGGTTTGAGTCTGGGACCCAGTGGCTTAAATCTCACACCAGGCACATGTATGGGCATGCCCAAAATCCCAAGAGTAGAATGTAGGAGAAGAGACTGCAGCAAAACTATCCCCACTGGGGGATGATTTCTTGGGGGCCAGAAGGTGGCGTGGTGGTTGAGGTGCTGAATTCCCACATGGCTGACCACAGTTTGAGTCCTGGACCTGGCAGCTTGCTTTCTCACTCTCTCTTTCTGTCTTTCACTAGTTAAACTGAAATAATAATAAAATTAAATAAACTAATTCCCAAACAAAATAAAACCTGCTAAGAGACAACCATAACATGAATAAAGGTCATTTTAAAGTAATTAAATATGTCATTAAAAATAACAGAAACCTGTATTTACTGAAATTGCTATTATGTTTTAGCATGATAAATGCAAGTGAAGGTACAGCATGTGTACTATGACTACAGTTTCTTTTATTTTTTTAATCTGCCTGAGGGTGTACGCATTTGCTAGAGAGAGAGGAGGAGGAGAGAAAACACACCCCAGGGAATGGTGACATGGCAATATCTTCTCTACTTCAATCTCCTTTTGGGATTTGGGGCATGCACGCATGCACATGCATGCGTATGTGCACACACACACACAACTTACACACACAACTTACACACACATACATTTTTCAAGCCTCTGTGTCCAGGACTTGAACTGAGCCTTTGGCCATATGGGATCCAGGCACATTAACCATGCCACCAGCTGGCTCCACTACTTTCTTAAAAAACAGTCTATCAGGATTTGCTCTACCAAACTGAGAATAGTCACTTATAAATATAATTGTAATTATTTTTGTTTTTTATTTCTGATTTTGTTTTACAACAAATCCAAATTTGTAAAATGGAAGAAAAAGATTGTCACTCACTTCAAAAACAAAGTTATAATTCCACAAGGAATTTTTAAATATTAAAGGTCACAATTTTAACTGTGGTATTGGTGTAATCACAAATACACTGATCAGAAAAGATAATCATAAAAACTCAAGCAAATATACACAAGAATATAACATATCATCATGTAGGCAGATCCAAAAAATAGAAAAGAAAAGAATTATTGAACAATTTGCATTGGTACAGGACTGAGGGGAAAGGTGTCAATTCAGGCTCTGAATTCATAACTGAGTGAAATTCATCTGAACTAAAAACTTAAATATAAAATAAAAATAATGAAGAGGGTAACTATCAAACATGAATTTTATTTAAAGTATTACGAAAGTGAAGTTTTTTTTAATAATTATTATTCATTAGTATGAATTCCCTGATGACGGATGAGATCTGAGCCACTGCTAAATGCCTTCCCACATTCCTTACAGTTATAGGGCTTTTCACCAGTATGAATTCTTAGGTGTCGAGTAAGATTTGAACATTTATTAAAGGCCTTTCCACATTCATTACATTCATATGGTTTTTCATCTGTATGAATTCTCTGATGTTGAAAAAGCTGTGAGTTCTGAGTAAATGCCTTCCCACATTCAAGACATTCAAAGGGTTTCTCGCCTGCATGAATTCTCTGATGTTGACGAAGTTGTGAACTCTGAGTAAAGGCCTTCCCACATTCCTTACAATCATAGGGTTTCTCACCAGTGTGGATCCTCTGATGATTAGTAAGTGCTGAGCCACTACTAAAGGCTTTGCCACATTCCTTGCACTCATAGGGCTTCTCACCAGTATGAATTCTCTGATGCTGAACAAGCTTTGAGCTCTGTGTGAAGGCTTTGCCACATTCCTTACATTCATATGGTTTCTCACCTGTATGAATTCGCACATGCTGAAAAAGTTGTGAGCTTTTTGTAAAGGCTTTTCCACATACTTTACATTCATAGGGTTTTTCACCAGTGTGAATTCGCTGATGATCAATAAGATTTGAGCAATAACTAAAGGCCTTCCCACATTCCTTACACTCATAGGGTTTCTTACCAGTATGAATTCTTTGATGCTGAGAAAGGTATGAGCTACAACTGAAGGCCTTTCCACATTCCTTACATTCAAAAGGTTTTTCACCAGTATGAATTTTCAGATGTCGAGTAACATGTGAGCCGCAACTGAAGAATTTCCCACACTCCTTACATTCATAAGATTTTTCACCAATATGAATCCTCTGATGCTGAATAAATTGTGAGTTCTGATTAAAGACCTTTCCACATTTCTTACATTCGTATGGTTTCTCATTATTTATTATTTGATGTAAAGTAAGAAATGTCTGTTGAACAAATGTAGGCATATATTCGTGAGTGAGTATTTCTTGGCTAAAATGCCCATTCTGATATTCCAGTTGTCTTGCAAAGTAACTTCTATATTCCAAAACATCTCGAAAACTGGAGTACTCAAGGCCATGCTTAGTAAGCCCCATTATCTCTCTCTGGCATGATTCTATTTCATAAACTTCCTTCTTTAGAGATAATAACTTGGTTTCACACATTGATTCCAGATCTGAAAGAAAACCAAATTGTAAAACTCTTTCTCTTAACTATTTGTGAAAAATTGAGCTTTAAGATGGAAATAGAAAAATTAAACTGAAAATAACTAGTAGGTAAAAGACATATGGTTCTTAAGGATATCTATTTAATCTGAAAAATGTACAAGAAATGCATAGGTATTAATGGTATAATGCATGAAGCAGAGTGAAGACACTATGGAAATATGTTACCACAATGATTCTGAAATATGGATCAAATCATCTGGAAAGCTTAGTAAATATATCATTGAACCTTCTATCATATTAAAATATGACTACTGTGGCTAGCAGGTGGCATGGTTGTTGGGGTCCTGGACTCCCACATGGCAGACAGTGGTTCAAGCCCTAGACCTGGCAGTTTGCTTTTTCATTTTCTATCCTCTTCTCTCTCTCTGTTCCTCTCTGGTGAGTGACCATGCCTTATAGCAAATTTTTTAAAAAGATAATAAATAAAATTAAATAAATAATTCTTAAAAAATCAAAAACATGACTACTATATAAGCATGCATGCATGTGGTATAAAAGTACATCATACATATATAACAAAAAGTGGCTAATTTTCCAGCCTCTGTTAAGGTCTCCTGAGGGAAATAAACACATATGGGGAAGGCTCCTGGGGTGTGTTATAATAAAGGTGAGATTTGTTCATAGTCCTGGCATAGAGCTTCAAAACCTAGGAATTTCTTGAGCAACAGAAGTATGTTTACTATGCTAATTAGAGTATTCATGGTGGGCCCTTAGGAAGCTTCAGCATGCAGACTGAAATATTAAACACATGATTAGAAGACTGGGATTTACAGCTGCCTGACTGTGGGAGGCTGCGTACCAGCAAGTCTGCTGAGGCTATTTTTCATGAGTCTCTTACTATTGCCATCTTAGGCTCAGAGACCAAACAATTACAAAGGCCACAATTGGCTCCCCTTCAAAAACCTCACCTTCAAAACCATACTCTGATTGGCCACTTCCCATAGCAAATCAGTGAGCTTAGAATCCCTCAAATTTGCATATCTGGGCACCTCATGATTGGTCCACAAAGCAACCAATCATAATCCACCTTTTACTATCCTTCACTCAACCAATCACAGCCCATCAACATGTATATAACCATGATCCCTGGCCCAAAATCGCCAGACGACCCTGAAGACCCTGAAGAGCTGTGACGCCGTGCCATCTCCGGACGACCCTGAGCTGTGACGACATTGCGTCAGCTCCGGATGACCCTGAACACTGTGTCATCTCCATGCTGCCTACAATAAAGAGATGACCCTGAAGAGACACTGCGTCATCTCCGTGCTGTGACAGTGGGCCATTCGTCCGTCTCTCACTCCTTCCCTCAGGAAACCTGTTCGACTGTCCTGCGGGTTGGGACACCTGACCCCTGGGAATGGAATGGAGGCTGGAAATTGAGCAGCCAATGATTTCATCAATCACACTTACTCTGGGAATCAAAGCTCAGTAGAGCTTTCCAGTCAATGAATACAATAATGTGTTGGGAGGGTGACATAACCTGGCTCTCCACAGAAGGCATGGAATCTCTGTCCAGAAGATCTCTAGATCTCTCTCTAAAATATACCTCTTTTTTTTTTTTTGAGAGGTTTTTGCGATTGGGAGTGTGTGCTCGCTTGAAAGACAGAGAGACAGAGAGATAGAAAGTGAGAAATCACCCCCCCCCAGGGGGGATGGCCATGCTATAATCCCTTCTCCTCCATTCTCCTCTTGGGATCTTGGGCACGCACGCACAATTGCCTGGAGTGAGGTTAAGCCACCTGGTCCAGCACTCGAACTGCGATCAGCTACATGGGAGTTCAGCGACATAGCCATCACACTAACTGCTGGTCCCTAAAATATATCTTTGATAACAAAACTATAATAAATATAGAGCTTTCCTGAGTTCTATAAGTCATTCTAGCAAATTACTAAAACTGAGGTAATCTGGTGTGTTAATTCATTATTGTATCACTCAACAGAAATACTATAGACTGGGTGATCGATAAAGAATAACTGCTGGTCTGGATGCACATTTTCATAATAAACTTTTTGTTACGTTAAGAAAAAAGAAGTAATGACAGAGACACAGACATATGCTCTGCTCTGGCTCTCGTCATGTGCTATCCTGTGCTACCTCAGGACACCACCAACAATAAGAATCTTACCAAATGTGGTTCTTTGACCAGGGATCTCCAATACCATGATGTAATAAATCTCTATTGTTTGTGAATAACCTAGACTCTGGCATATGTGTTATTAGCACACAAAAGACTAAAACAAAACTCATACCAAGACCCACAAGACCCCAGATATAGCTGCAGGTACACTTCCATCCCAACCTGTACCTAGTACATATACACAGGCATACACACACATCATGCCACTTTCCTGACCTCTTCTTATACGATTCCATTTGCCCATTCTACTCCAGCAACAATGGTAGAAGTGAAAAAGTTCTTAAAAGGTGATTTGTTCTTACTGTTTCCCCTGCCTGAATCCCTTCTATCAGATATTTATATTTATTGCTCTTTAGGCCTTCTTTCAGGTCTCCATTAAAATATCACCTTATCAGAGATACCTTCTCTGAGGTACCTTCATAGGATGTATTTCATCTGACATTTTACATACATATAAAAACATATCATGATAATCAACCCTATTAAAAGATGGGAGAATGAGTTGAAAAAAAAACAACTCTCTAAAGACGACATACGAATAGCCAAAAAGCATATAAAAAAAAGCTCAACATCCCTCACTGTAAGGAAAATGCAGATCAAAACCACAATGAGATGCCAGCTAACCCCAGTCAGAATGTCTTAAGATTAAAAAAAAAAAAATGATAAGTGTTGGTGGTGGTGTGGTGAAAGGAGAACTCTCTTACACTGCTGGTGGAAATGTAAATTAGTCCAGCCACTGTGGAAAACAATTTGGAGATTCCTCAAAAATCTATAAATAGAACTACCATATGATCCAGCAATCCCACTCCTTGGTATCTACCCAAAGGACAGAAGAATTCTTTTTTTTTGGGGGGGGGAGAGATTTTCACTGTAGGGCGCGTGCTCTCGCCAGACAGACAGAGAGAGACATAGAGACAGAAAGCGAGAAATCACTCCCCAGGGGGGATGGTCACGCCGCAATCCCTTCTCCTCCATTCTCCTCTCGGGATCTTGGGCACTCATGGAAACAACGAATGAATGGATAGAAAAACTGTGGCACATATACTCTACGGAATACTACTGAGCCATTAAAAAAAACCAAAACCCTGACTTTTGACAGAAAGTGGAAGAATATGGAAGATTTACTGCTGAGTGATGCAAGCCAGGCTATGAAGGAGAGACATTATATGTCACCACTTAATATATACAAAGTGTCTGCACTCTAGGACTGAAACTGATTGACCAAAGGATATACACACACAGCAAATGGGTGTAAATACCAGATATGGTGTGTGTGGAAGAGTAGGAACTGAGGAAAGACACTTAAAAAAAAATATGAAGGCAAAGCATTAATGGGACAAAGAAATGTGGTATTATCTGTTGAAGATATTTTATAGTTTTATCAACTGGACTAGGAAGAAATGTTCACATACTGAAATATTCACTTTATAAGCTAAACAATGTGATTGAATGTATAAAAGAAAATGAAATAAAAAAATAATGTATTACTTATATTATGGAAACAAATTTTTTAAATCATACAATATAATTTAGTATATATTATTAGTATTAGTACTACAAGCATATATAAAATTATATATAAATATATGAATGTATATTAACATATTTCATGTTATTATAAATTACATTATAATTATATATTACAATATATAATTATGAATACAACATACTAATAGGTAATGTTACTCTATTTGCATATATTAATATATACATATCATTTTTACATATACATGCACACATATACATTGATATACATTTCCTACGGTTTGAATGTGTCCCCCCCAAAAATTTAGGTGTTGCCAATGTGATAGTATTTTTTTTTTTTGGAGAAGTTTTTCACTATAGGGCGCATGCGCTTGCCAGACAGACAGAGAGAGACATAGAGACAGAAAGCGAGAAATCACCCCCCAGGGGGGATGGTCATGCCGCAATCCCTTCTCCTCCATTCTCCTCTCGGGATCTTGGGCATGCACGCACACGCACCCAGCGTGAGTTTTAAGCCACCGGGTCCAGGACGTGAACCGCGGTCGACTATGTGGGAGTCCAGCAACATAGCCATTACGCTAACTGCTGGTTCCCCCAGTGTGATAGTATTAATAGATGGGACCTTTCAGAGGTGATCTGGCTATGAGACTCCTCTTTTATGATAGAACTAGGTACCTTCATAAAGAAGTCTAAGAAGGAATTGGTTATTGCGCCCTTCTGCCTTTTGCTATGTGAGGGCACAGCAAGGCTCTCACAAAGGTGCTGGTACCTTGATCTTGGACTTTTCAGCTTCCAAAACTGAGAAAATAATTTTCTTTTCTTTATTAGTTACCTAGTCTAAAGTATTCTGTTATAGCAGTACAAAATACTCTTAAGACATTTTCTCTTTTACTATCAAGCATGTAGCCTCCAGAAGTAGAGCATTAAATGTTTTTCTGTTTCTATTTTTTTAATAATTATTCATATACTCAATTTTTTAATTTGTTGTTATTAATTTGACCAGAAAGAGATGGAGACAGAGAGAAAGGGAAAGCTGCCAGGTCTGGGACTTGAGCCACAGTTGCTCACGTGAGAGTCTAACATCTTAAACACCAACTCACCTGCCAGTCTCAGGAGTTTTAAATGTTTTAATCAATACCATAATCTCAGCATCTGGATCAATGCTTGATATATAGCAGTAATCAGTAAATTATCTTCTAGTTCTCCTACTTCATCCCAAATCTCTTCTCTTCTGCCATCCTTTCCTTTTCTTTCTTTTTCTTTTCTTTTTTTTTGAGAGGTTTTTGCTATAGGGTGCATGTGCTCACCAGAAAGACAAAGACAGACAGAGACAGAAAGCGAGTATTCACCCACCCCCCAGGGGGATGGCCATTCTGCAATTCCTTCTCCTCCGTTCTCCTTATAGGATCTTGGGCATGCATGTGCATGCATCCAGCATGAGTTTAAGCCACCGAATCCAGGACTCAAACCATGGTCCACTACATGGGAGTCCAGTAACATAACAATTATATCACCTGCTAGTCCCCATCATTTCCTTTTCAGTATAGGCACAGACCTTTGTTATCTTCACCAACAGTGTCTCTATACATGGTGATTACAATTACTTCCAAGTTTCCAACTACTATTGCAATATGGATTAATTTTCTTCTATGTATTGATATTTAGCCCTTGTCTTTCTGCTGAGCTTCCTATCTGACTTTTACAGTATTCTACTTTGTGGAAATTAGTTATGGATATATTTTAGCACAACTCTTAGACTCTGAATTCTTTTTTATTAAGTATTATTTATTTAATTTATTATTATTATTAAATTTGGCCAGAGAAAGACAGAGCGAGAGAGAAGAAAAGTAAGAATGCAAGTCCTCAGGTCCAGAACTCAAACCCCAGATGGCCATGTGGGAGTCCAGCACCTTAACCACTATGCCACCTGTCGGCCCCTAGACTTCAAATTCTCAAAACAGACATAATTAGCAAACTACAGCACTGAGCAGACTCTCTTGCATATATTAGGAAATCAAAACTGTTGGATAAAGAAAAAAATCCAATTCAGTATTAGGCAGCTATTCTGAAGACCAATCCTTGAGCAATGATGAGGGAGATGTGCAATCACATGTACACACACAATTACATTATTAATTAATTTATTTTTCTGTCAGAGGGCATATGTGCTCACCAGAGAGAGAGAGAGAGACCTCCATGGAGAATGGTCACACCATGGTCACACCACTATCACTTCATTTCTCCTCTTGGGATTTTGGGCCCTCACACACAAGCACTCAGCATGTTTTTCAAGCTGATGTGTCTTGAGACTCAACCTGTGCAGTTAGTCATGTGGGATCCAGCTGCCTTAACCACCATGCTACCGGATCCTCCCAAAATTACACAATTTTAAGGATAGTAATAGATAATATCTATCAGCCTAAATGTAAAAGAGAAAGAAAAGCTAGCAAGGGACTAGGGTAAAAAGTTTTCTTTGGAGGGAAAACATACCTTCTGCTTGAAATTAAGAAGGGTATTGGAGACCAGTAGTAGAAGTAATGAGATAGGCTAACCAGTGGCATGGTAGTTAAGGCAGCTGGATCCTGCATGGCTGACTACATGGTTTGAGTTTCAGACCTGGGAGCTTGGAAAACACACCAGGTACATGTATGTGCATGCCAAAAATTCCAGGAGGAGAGTTGGGGAGAAGGATTACAGCATGGCCATCTCCCCTGGAAAGTGCTTTCCCACTTCCTCTTCCTCATTGATCTCCAGCAAGTGCATTTGCCTTATGCAAATTTAAAAGAAAAAGGGGGGCCAGCAGGTGATGCAGTGGTTAAGGTGCTGGACTCCCACATGGCCAACTATGGTTTGAGTCCTGGATCCAAAGGCTTGAAATTCACACAAGGGGGCAAAAGAAGAGAGGAGAAGGGATTGTGATATGGCCATCCTCCCTAGGGGGTGATTTCTCACTCTATTTCCAGCAAGCACATGCACCCTATGGCAAAAGTCTCTCTAAAGAAAACAAATAAAGGGACCAGCAGTTAGCTTATGTAATGGCTATGTCGCTGGACTCCCATGTAGTTGACTGCAGTTCAAGTCCCGGATCCAGTGGCTTAAATTCATGCCAGGCGTTTATGCGTGCATGCTCAAGTTCCCAAGAGGAGAATGGAGGAGAAGGAATTGCAGCATGGCCATCCTCCCTGGGGGATGATTTCTCGCTTTCTATCTCTCTGTCTCTCTCTGTCTTTCTGGCAAGCGCATGCGCCCTGTAGTGAAAAATCTCTCAAAAAAAAGAAAACAAATAAAAAAGAAAAAGAAAAAGAGTGATGAGTAAGGGAAGGGACAATAAGTTATTTATAAACTCATGTTAAAAGGACTTCGTTTTCTCCACAGGCTCAGGTTCTTAACAGAAGCTCCTAAGATAACATCTCAAAAGAACTGTTTCCTCACTGACCACCTGAGTTACCTGTAATATCCTACTTTTGTCCAGTCATTTCTCACTTACCTGAACACAGGCCTCTTGTAAGCTCTCTGCCAATCATCCAGGGCTCTGCTCCAGTAAGGAAATCACTTGAGGCTTAGGAATGTAAAGTCCTGCTCACAAGAAAAGATACAGAACATGGTTATGCTGTGGGTAAATCAAGTCAATGATAAAAATAAAAAGATGTTACTATAGAATAACCAAAGAAAATGAAGATGAAGCTTTAGTTGCAGTGCATTGGAGCTACCCATTTTCGTATTTTTCATTTCAGCTCAAACCATTTATTTGAGAATAAAAAATTCAGCTTGTAACTTGAAAAGCAGCAGCTGAGAAATTAATTCACTGTGGAAGAAGCAAACATTCCAGAGGAGAACCCTGAATTATTGGTATACATACTCTTACCCATTGAAACCAGATTACTGTAGTTTTCCAACATCACTTCTCTGTACAAGTCCCTTTGGGGAGGATCCAGACATTCCCACTCCTCCTGAGAGAAGTCTACAGAAATATCACTGAATATCACTGACTCCTGAAACAATAAACCTATGCATTAGTTGTGTAACAAATGAAACATTTCAAAGACTACTGTTAAAGCAAATAAATAATTATGCTGGCATCACAGAGAACCAAATTTTTGAATCTCAGAAATAGATGTAAGAATAATGAGCGTGTTCAGGCCAGCAAGTGGCATGGTGGTTATGGTGCTGGACTCTCACATGATCGACTATGGTTTGAGTCCTGGACCTTGTGGCTTGCTTTCTCACTTTCCCTCCCACCCCTCTCCCCCTATCTCTCTCTGGTGAGCATGCATGCACTGTAACAAATTAAATAATAATAATAATAAATAAAATTAAAAATAATTCTTAAAAAGAAAAGAGTCATGAGCTTGATTTATATTAAAAAGGCTAATACATTACCAAAGGCCAAGATTATAAAGTCTAAGTGAAACCAAGTTGTGATCCTCAAAAAGGAGCAAACCTTCAGTTTCTTTTTTATTATTATTTTTTAGAAGAAAGTGTAAGTTCCCAAAATGAAAACTGATTAGAACTAAAAGTATCTATCCAGATTGACTGACAAAAGAGGTCCATTTAAATGTAGATGTTACATTCAAGTCTCTTGACCCTGACTACACCCACTCCTTCCCTGAGATAATTATTTGAATGTATATGCTAGCTTACAGTAAACCACACCTTCCTGTAGTAATAGATGACATTTATCTAAAGACTGTCTGTCACTTTAATGTACTAAAACGAAGCTTGTAACTTCCCTCTTCATCAAAGAAATTGTGATAGGCAGTTAGTTAGTCATGAGGGGGCAACCCTAAGAGAAAAGCCAAAGGCTCATCTAGCTCTGGGTCCCAGGAGGGTGAGGCAATTTGCCATCTTCCTTCCTTGGGGTCTGAGAGAAGCACACAGAAATCGTAGATTTTTCTCTTATCAAAAGGACCTAAGCAAGCGTTTTGGTCAATGCCCTAATTCCCATTAGGGCGATGGACTAACTGGGCAGTCTAATTAGGGCAACCTGGCTCGCACTGGGCGAGTGCAATTAGGTGATCAAGTTCCTCATTCTTTACCTGTGAAGAAGGTACACAGGTGCAGGAAAGAACATGTGGACTCAAATGTAAAGGAAGGACATAGGCAGCATGAGGGTCCTCCCACTAATGAATATTCATGACATCTAATAATAAAAACAATGGTTAACTAGTACCAAGCACGGTTGCCACCTGGCAATCTGCCCGCCCAAGAACCTCTTTGGGTGTACTTCGTTTCTTTCCTTTCCTTCCTTTCCTTTCTTTCTATTAAATCTTCTTTTCTACCTACTTCATTTGTGGTTGGTTCCATTTTGCACCTAGGGACAGATCTCTAATTTTAGTGATCTGGACCCAAAGAACCGAGGGCTTCATAATACACCTCAACTATCTCTTATCCGTTAACAAAATCAGTTTCTTAACTGTAGGAATTAAGATGTAGAAGTTTTGTATAACACATATCTTAAGATATTTTGTAGGACAATGGTCACTGACCACATCACTTCCGGGCTGAAATGCACCAAAGACCTGAGTTCGCCCCTGCCAGAACAGAACACTGATCATCTAAGGCCTCACCAATCAAGAATGCGGAAGAGATGATCACACCCTCTTAATCCAATCACTGAACTAATCACGCACCTAGAACCTCTACCCCTAATTTTGCCCTTAAAAATGCTTGTGGGGAACATCTTGGGGAGACCGGGTTTTTACAGCGTGAGCTGCCCGCTTTGCTTGCTTTCCACACAATAAAGCTGTACTTTCTTTCATCACACCATGTGCCTATAGTTTGGCTTTATAGCTTGTGGGCAAGCGAAATGGATTTGAGTTTGGTTACATTAGCATGATTTAGAATGAAAGTAACCAAGGTTCTTTGGAAAAAGGTGATTTCAGGATTAAGTCAGAAATACATAGGGTAAATATGAATATCGTTTTATATGAAAATGCAAGAAAGCTACAAAAAACTTTTAGGATCATGTTTACAACTCAAGTGACAGCTTAAAGAAGCTCTGAATGGTCAAAAACGGTATAACTTGTGAATCAAATTATGAAGATAATAACTACAATACACTGATCACATTAAAAATGCTTAACCTGGTGCCAGCAGGTCACATGGTGGTTTGGGCACTGAACTCCTACATGGGCGACCATCATTCAAGTACTGCACCTGGTGGCTTGATTTCTCACTTTCCCTCTTTCTCTCTGGTCAAATTTTAAAAATAAATAAATAAATAAAAATCAGATGAAAAAATATTTTTAAGAGAGATTTTTTATATGGGCATGTGTGCTTGCTGGAGAGAAAAAAAGAGAAAACAAGAAATCACCCCCCTGCCCCCAAGAGGGGATGGCCCCACCACAATCCCTTCTCTTCCATTCTCCTCTTGGGATTTTGGGCACACACGCACTCATGCCCAGCTTAAGTTTTAAGTCACTGGGTCCAGGATTCAAACTGAAGTTGACTACTTAGGAGTCCAGCAATGTACCATTACACCATCTGCTGGTCCCAGATGAAATCATTTTTTAAGAATTATTTTATTTAACTTTATTTATTTATTTATTTTAATTTAAGCAGAGAAAACCCGAGCAAGAGAGGGGAAGGAAAGTGAGAAAGCAAGCCACCAGGTCTGGGATTTGAACTACAGTTGGCCATGTGGGAGTCCAGTGTCCTTAACCACCATGCCACCTGAAATAACTCTTTAAAAAAATGCTTAACTCGAGCCTAACAGTTAGTGTAATGGCTATGTCGCTGGACTCCCATGTAGTCGAACGCGGTTCGAGTCCCAGACCCAGCGGCTTAAACTCAAGCCGGGTGCGTGTGTATGCATGCCCAAGATCCCGAGAGGAGAATGGAGGAGAAGGGACTGTGGTGTGGCCATCCCCCTCAGGCGGTGATTTCTCACTTTCTGTCTCTCTGTCTCTCTTTGTCTTTCTGGTGAGTGCACAAGCCCTATAGCAAAAACCTCTCCAAAAAAAGAAAAAGAAATGTTTAATCCATTGCCGGACCAGCTCAGCATGAACACGTTTCTCTGAGTGGGGAAGTCTGTGGATTAGAAATAGATGCACTAACAAAACACACAAAGACACACAGGTATAGAAAGCGAGGATTGGGTGGGCTCAGCTTCTCTGATGGAGAAGGTGAGACCAGAACCAGCCTCAGGTTTATTCTTTTAAAGGGCAGAAAATGGGGGAAGGGGAAAATGGGATGTAAAAGGAATGGGGAAGAAGGAAGTGGAATACAAAGAGGTGAAATTGGGATGCAAAGCCAGTTGTTTTTGGATGTAAATCAACTGAAGATGTGAAAATGGCTGGCACCAATACAATTTCTCTGATCCTTTTGGGGGAATAATCTGATAAAAGCTTGTGACTTCCTTCAGCCTGATACTGTGCAGTATAGAGGTATTGAGTTTCAACAAGAACAGGAAGACAGCCATTTACAACAGGCAGGTATTGCTTTCGTATGCAGATGCTTCTCAATAGCCCTGCTAGAGTAGCTTACAAAAGCACATATCTGCATGTGTCTTCAGGCCACATGGTTTAATCACATGTCTTCAGATTGGCTGCTCTCCACAATCCATAAGCTTTTAAAAATATTGAAAAAACTAGCAGCCATTTTCGTAGGATTCTAAGAAGCTAACTCATTATTTTGAATTCTGATGAATAAATGCAAAGAATCAAACATTCTTTCTTACGCAAACCATCCACTGGAGTAAACAAATACCTGATGAGAAAAAGTTTCACTTTATAAATAGAAGCACTCCACATAATCTGTGAAGGAGAAATGACAGAACTAAAAATATCATTTTTCAAGCCCTAATGAATTAGTAAGTCTAACAATAATCACAGATGGCTCCTAATATAAGAAAGAGAATGAGATAAAATGTCGCCTCCAAACAGAATAACACATCACAACCTATAAAATATTCTTTTTTTATTTCAATTTATTTATTTGCATTCATTCACTGTACATCATTACAACATACAAAATGAGATTTTCCATCCAGAGTACACTGTATATTGTCTCAATCAAGCACATCAACAAACATGTTATTGTCAGCAAATGATCTTCCATTTCTTGTTTTCTCTATGTTTTGCTTTTTATCCCCCCATCCTTGATTCCCTATCTCTTACCCTCTGCCAACTCCCACTCTCCTCCCACACTGTCTCTGGTATCTGTGTTTGCTTTCTATACCATTTCCCCCCCCACATTTTATTGAATCCCCAAAGACCCTAATCAATCTAAATACCCTCATAGCAAACACAGGTGACACACACATTTCCATGAACACAAGTCTAACTTTACGCATCCTATAAAGTAGCACCTAGCTGGGGCTACATATCATACTGCAGTCATTGAATAGATATTTTTTTTTTCCTGAAACTCTTTTTTTTTTTGGTAACTCAATTTACATTCCTTCCCTAAGCATCATCACAACACACAAAATGCGATCTCCTATCCAGTACACACTGCATAGTGACTCAATCATGCACATTACAATAAATTTTCCAATTCTAGTTCCTAGAATGATTTCCACCCCTCTTTCTGATCCTCTGTCCCTTCCCTCCCTCCTCTCACACCACCTCCGGTGTCCACAATTGTCCTCCATTCCC